TAAATGCACGAAGGTGAGGTGTTTGAAACTGTTAAAGGTTTCCATGTCTTTTTTGGTAAGGAGGTTATTTACTTGATCCCTACTTTTGCATTCGTGTAATATTGTTGCTATTGCTATTGTAGTAAATGTGTCTAAAATGATAGCAGGGTGAGAAGAACGCTGTCTGAATTAAAAATAACACAAAAACGAAAATATTCACTTATTAGTTTTACAGTATGCCAATTGTAAATGTGAGGCCCTCGGAAAAAAAATACAAACAATAAGTAATGATTTTAGCGCAATTTTCTAACAGCTCTTGGGTCTAAGGTTGGATTCCAGACTAGGGCGCCCACTGTCCCGAATTTGCATGTTCAACCCTTTTTTATGTTGGATTTCTCCGCATGGCGCCTTACAGAGACCTGGTGCCTATATTAATTGTCCCTAAATTATCCCTTTGAGCTTGTGTGGGCTCAGCAATGTCCTAGTCCCGTTTCTTAGAGAACAGGATCTAGGTTTGTGTCACCCTAACCAGCAATAAGCAGCTTTCTGACAGTGGATGGATTACTGTAATGTATAACAAGGTTTTGAGCTCGGAGTAAATTCTTAAATTCTAATAAGCCTTTATTAATAGCTCAGTTATAGCCACTTAGAAGTCATTTTGCTGAAAGCTGTTAATTACCCTAAAGTTAAAACCCTGTAAAGCTGTCAGCTGTGTGATGGGTTGCTAATGTCCCTTCTGTCTTTTTAGGACTGTTCCTGCATTTCACACACTGCGGTAGAGAGCATCAGCGTTGAGGACCGCTATGAAACTCATCATTTCCTGGTCAGTGCAAGACATCCATCTTACAATCAGATAATTAGCTTCCAGCTCCAGTGGTTATGCATATATTTCAAAACTGAGTTATTCTTATTTGATTGTAAAGATGACTTGATTATTACTTCCAGTTCTTTATGCGAGTCCCTGTTCATCCAGCTCTTTCGAGGTTGTCTGAAAACAAACCTCAAGTTAATTCATGCTAATCCTCTTTTGCAATAACCATATATTGGAAATACAGTGCCTTGCGCAGTTTTCACATTCTGTTGCTTGAGAGCTTGCAGTTATGATGCTTTGAAGTAGTAGTTAATATTTGTTGTATACTGAACCTGCTCCACACATAAATATTCAAATCCTGTGCTGTGGCAAACCTAAATCAATTTAGGTGACCATAATGAGCCAGACAATTAGCTGAGTGGCCTGTGTCCATGTGCATTAGTAGTGGTTCACATGATTTCAGAAGCTTCTGTCTCTGTAAAGACCAAAAGTCCGGTAGTGGATTTCAAGCAAGGATTCAACCAAGACCAATGAGCGATTAAAGATTACTTTGTGGAAAAGGAAGGAAAATGAGAAAGGTATAAAAAACGAAAGAGTCTTAATATCTCTTTGAGCACTGTGAGGTTGATCATTAAGAAGGGGAATGTGTATCATACAACTCAGTCTGCCTAGATCCTGCAGTCCATCCTTAGCTGAGCATCTGGGCAAAGAGGAAACAGGTTAAGAGATGCGATGCTAAGCGATCACCTTTGAAATACAGCGTTCTGTGGTTCTGAGATGGGATATATGTACAGAACATGAGACAACAATATCACAGTCACTCCACAAAGAAACAGTGTATGGCAGAGTGGATAACCTATCTCATATCCTGTGTGGAGTTGTTTTTTTTGTTTAATGGTCAGACAATATTGGAACATACTGGTCCATATATAGAGCATTGCACTTGACGCAAACCCAACATAGTGCACCAGAAAGTCAACACCATCCTTATTTGTAAGCGTGACGGTGGCAGCATTATGATATAGCTTCTCATTAGCAGGGACTGGCAGACTAATGGAAACATAGATGGAGCAAAGCACTAGCACATTTTAGAGGAGAAACCTGCTTCAGACCTAAAACTGAAATCCGCAGGACAATGATCCAAAGCTACACTGTGGTAGTTTTATAAATAAGAACGTAAATGTCCTTGAGTGGCCCAGTTACTGTCCTGACTTGAAACCTATAAAGAATCAGTGGAAAGCCCTGAGAAGTGCTCTGCCCATAGGCAATCTCCAAGCAACTTAAGAGAGATTTTGGCCAGCAGCTGTCACCCTGCAACTCACATCTGGCCACCCACTGAAGCTCAGCAGGCTTGAGCCTGGTCAGTACCCTGATGGGAGACCTCCTAAGGTTTGCTGCTGGAAGAGGTGTTAGTGGGGCCAGCAGGGGGCACTCACCCTGCGGTCTATGTGATCACATTTACTAGGCTACCCCGTAAAGTTTTCCTCCATGAGGAAACGGCTCATTTTCCATTATTGGTCTACGTCTAGGCCAGAGTGGATTTTGTGCCACTGTCCCTTGGCCATCACCAGTCCCGGTTATGCGACTGTATTTACATTAGACAGACATTTACTAGTTATAAACTACTGTTCGGTATATATTGTACTGTCTGTGTATGCAAGTATGTAGAAAATGATCAAGTAGTAACTGTGTGAGTTTGTGTAAAATCTGCATTTTAGAACTGTTTCATCTGTTTATATTAGTAAGCACTTTTATCACAACACCCAGTTGCACCTGTGGTGTTGATTTACGGAGCCTGTGAATAGAACTGCTGTACCCGAAAACTGGCAAAACAGACAAATGAGAGAAGCCTCCTGAGTGGCTCCATCAGTGGAGAAGTTCACTAAGCGCAGGTTGGGTAGGAGTTCAACAAGACATGGGTCATGTCACTAGCCAATAGTACCCAGAATTCCCCCGAGCTGCGGCACACGATTGGCTGGTTGCTGTCTAGGGTAGGGCGGAGTTAGTCGTCTTGGCAACCACAGCGGCCCCTGTGGCCTGCCGTGCTCTAGCAGGCAGGCGCTGCTGTCGGTGAGGGAGGCACTTCTCCCCCAGGCAGTGCTGAACCTCTGATACCGTGCTGTGCGGCCTGAAGTCTCAAAAGACGAGACAGGAAGAACAAATTTGATATTCCAAGTCTGGTGGGAAAAAAAAACGCTTGATGAAAAGATTGTATTCTTTGCTCTGCAATGGACTGGCATGCCTTGCGCCCATTGCTTGCTGGGATAGACTCCGGCTCCCCGGTGACTCTGGGTTGGAAAATGCAGGGATGGATGAAAGTGAAGGTGTACAGGGACTAGGAACCTTAAATTTCAAAAGTTGTTTAGGGCTTTAAGCTTTTAAGAAAAATCTGGACAAAGTTTAAGTTGGGATAGGCTGTTAGAAAAGGGATAGTCATATGAAGTACAGAATCCTCAGAGTCAGGAAGAACGTGAAGATGCTCACATAAATCTTCTTGTACTGAATAAAACTGCAGATGCAATCCCTTCCCAAAATGGAAGAAAGATTCTTATAGTATCTGAAGAAAGTTGTCATTATAATCAGGTGTCAGCATAATTTCCACAGATTCTTAGCTATTATGTTGAGAAACAAGATTACAGTATCTGTTTCCTTCTGAAGGATATATCAGAAACAAATGTGTCATCAATGTTTTCCGAGTATGTGCATGCATGTATTTGTGTTTGCAAAGATAAAAAAAATAAATCTGAACTGTGCTACGTATGTAATACTAGCAATTTAAAGACTGCTGCAATCTTTCAGGCCCATGAGTCACCATCATGTTCCCTACCAAGGACAGTGGCCAGTGAGGAAATGACAGTGTTTTCTAGTGATGCCAACCATTACGAACTGCTTTCAGAGCTGGGTGAGAATCTACTATATTTGCACTTTTTTAATTGATGCTGTTTTATATGTGCAGAGGAAAATCAAAAGTTTTTTTTTTAATGCAGTCCCTTTGGATCTCTCATGATGTAACACCTCAAGATGTCCAGTGAAAGACTCTTTAGAACAGGCCAAAATAGATTGATGACTCCTTGTTTTGACAATTTTGTACTTAAAAGGAGTTCATATTCCATTCACTGTAAGGCTCCTAAGACAGCCATTTATTTTTATTTTAGGCTTCCATCTTTTCAGTCTTTCTCTGCTTATTATTTGGTTAGATAACTTATTTGCAATGTTAGAAAACATCTGTTTCCTAAGTCACAGATGACTGATGAAGAAGTATCAGCAAAGGATCACTAAATCTGATCAACAAGTTTTCATCATTTAGAGATTGTGTACCCATAAAACAGTATGTAATAAAACCCTGTTTTGCAAAACATACACTTGTTGTTTTAATACATCGCATCAATGCAAAACATCAAGCGTTTTTGGAGAGATAATTATTAATGTTTTGGAACATTGTTGTAAAACATTCAGATTATGCACAGGAATGAACCAGTCAGATAACTCCTTTCAAATCCAAATCAGTTTTATATTTTTCTGTAGCTCCCATCTTATGACAGAGTGCTTTAATGCCTGTGTACACAGACTATACACACATGGTAAAACAATACCAAAAAAAAATCAAAAGAAAAGTAATGCAAGTGAATGTAAAGCAGTTTATTGTGCCTTAGAATAACAGTATAATCATCATGCACATATGGGAGAAATCAATAGCTGTTACCTTTTTTTCTGTGCACTTAAAGGAGGTTCAGTGAAGTTAATTCCATTTAAGTCAACCTATTTTGTACATAGAAGAAAAACATAGTACAAACAAAAAGGCAAAAACTTGGTTCACTGTGTGGTCAAGCTGTAACATTTACCTGATCCTTACAAAGGACACTCTTAATCTGCTTAACAATACAGTTACCACTCTGGTCCAGTGAGCCACTGACCACTGCTATGTACTTTTACTTTGCCTACCAAAGATACCTATGGGCATATAATACAGCACAGACAACCACTGATCAGTGAGAAATGAGTACCACCTAGTGTTCAGTATAGGGATAGTTTTTTCATACATTTGAATACATTCTACTGACCTTCAACACATCAGTTCTGTTTTTTTGCAAAACATCCATCTGTCATCTGTCGTGTGGATTGATCTTTCACCTTCAGTCTACCAAGTTGCATTGCTTGTGCTGTAGTCTGCAGTATTGACGTACAATTCTAGACGTACAATGTGGGTACTCACTTCTAGACGTACAATGTGGGTACTCACTCCCAAAGGGTACAAATCAGAGCTTAGTACTTCACAAGGCAAACAATTAGCTTGTTTATAAATCCATATAAAAACCAGTAGAAATGTAAAGACCGTAGATTAAAATATAGTTGCCTGTTGCAAATTGGATGTCTGTTTCAAAATAACGTAATTAGGTGAGATTCCTTTGAAAGTTCTATAGGCTTACATTCATTTTTTGGGTCAATTTCCATTGTATTTCTGTTTCTTCATCATTCATGTAAGTATTTCTTTTTTTTACTGTTATTTCTGTCATATGATTTGAAGAGTTTGTTTATATTTTGTCTGTTTGCATGTACACTACAAACTCTAAGATGAAGAAAAATGATCTGTTGCTCATGTTCAGTGCTGCCAGCTGTGTGGTGCTCATGATTGCAAAAGCCGCCCAAAACCCTCCTGAAATACCCACCACATATTCAAATATATTGTATCCCATATGTGATACTGGCTGCGATGGACAAGGTGTGCCCAATTGCCCCACCTGCTTGGCAGGATAGGGTCCGTCTCTGCTGCAACCCTGTACTGGAATAAGCAGCTAGAAAATGGATGGATGTAATACTGTTGATACCACTGTCACACAGATTAGAGTTTCCTGTGAAGCGAACTAAGGGGGGATATTAACTTAAACTGCTGGGTTGTGGGCAGATGGATTAAATCACCAAGAGTAAAGTCCTCAAACAAAACACAGCAGTTTTCCCCTGAAGTAATCTTTGAGATATTCCCATTGCAGATCACCTTCCAAACCATTAGGGTTGAACACTTTCTGTATTTGATATGTCGAGTGTTATATCTTTCTAAGGAACAAGTAAAGGTTTATTCCATGCTGAAAAGGGAAGAAAGGAAACACAACATTTTGGCTGTGGAGGCTTGTTTGGGTGTGAAGTAAAACATTTTTTTCTCTTTTCAGCATGGAATAGACCTTTACTTGTTCCTTTGCAGCCTATGCATGCTGATGCAGCTCTCTACTTGAATTATTTATTTCGACTGTATGTGTCAGACCTAGGCTATGTCAGACCGACTCCTTTGTGGTAAATGGCGAATATCGCAATCATATGACAAAGCTGAGTCCTTCATGTTCCAATGTTCCCCTCCATCCTATTGACAGGGAGGGGGTTCAACAACCTCAGGATGGTGTGTATGGCCAGGCACAAGCCCACAGGGAAACTGCTGGCGCTCAAGCAGACAAACCTGGACAGGTGTACTGAGGAAGAGCTGAGGTTGTTGTTGGTGAGTGCCATGGAACTGAAACTCCTGACCGTAATCGGAGTAATATGCTTGAGGTTCAATGTCAATATACAGTTGTTTGTTACCCTCTAGTTGTTACTGTGGTTGAAGCTCGTCTCGTACCCAGTCCTAATTGAAAAGGAGTATTTTAGAAACCAAGTCCTTGGGACAGCCTTTGTGTCATTGTGTTGCCCCTGACTCTGTTTCATTTGCTTTGACCTCAGTAAAAAAAATTCAGAAAATGATTCACTTCTTAAATCAAATAGCCAGTTCTCGTTTTAATAAATACTCTTTTATATAGGAAAATCTACTGGTGCACACAAGAAAACCAGCATTCATTCAATTAATTTAACAACATACAGTCATGCCTTGTTATACGAGCTTAGTTCGTTCCTCAAAAACTGCTCCTAAGGTGAAAATTCGTATAAATGAATTTTAACTCCTGTAACGTCCCATGTTATTATCTCCAACCGGTTCCATAACTCAAAAATGTTCTTTCAAACACTCAGACTTTTCCTTAATACAAAACCGAATGATACCTAAATATGAAGACAATAACATTCCTGGTTAATTATACTAGTAACATGCCTAATGTCTTCAGCCTTCGTTACATTGTTACCTTTGACAACAAGGCCCAGTAGCTTGTTTCAGATTCCCACAGTCCTTAAAGCTTTTCATCCCAAAAGATTCCAGATTTGTCTGGAGGGAGGGTACCCCTTTCACCCTGCCCTGAAGTGCTACACCCACCCTGGTGACATTTGGCACCAGTGATAAGCTTGTAGCCTCTAAACTGGACAGATCGGGTTGAAAACTGAGAAATGAATAATGCACCCTTTAAATAAAGGGAACGTTTAGGCTAACCTAACTTTGAAGGCCAATTATGAGCCCAGAAATCCTGTATTCTTATTTTTTTATTTCCATTGTATGCTTAAAGGGGAACTGTAGTCCCAGTTTCTCAGACAAATAAATGTATTGATGTTATAGACAAATTTTACAAATTTCAAAATAACCACAAAATCGTGAACATTGTGAAAGTACTGTAAGTCACCATGTTGTTGCAAACCCCTGGTCTCACCACGGGTGAGAGTGAGAGTTCCCACGAAGTGTGACGTGGTGCGGCCCTTCCTGCTCACTAGTCTCTGTAATGACTAATGTCTTGCAATGCACAAGTGAATAAGTACAGGTTGTGCGGTAGATATTTCACCGCAGAAATATCCCAACGTGATCTGCATGCAGAGCTAACACGTAAGTAGTATTTTTCAGCAAAAGGTCTTGAAATCGAGAGCAATACTTCTTTGGATTAAAAGAGATGCATTCACAAGCTTGCTTGTTTACAGTGTCATAGAGATGCATCACATCACCAGAAGTTTTGTTTGTCTCATTCTGAATCGCAGAATATAGCGCTACTCATACCTTAATCTATTTTGTGATGTAAAT